CATCTTTGATCTTCCTTATTAACTGTTCCAATTCCTGAATGACTTCTGTTAATAATATGGTTTCATTCGTATATCTTAGGTTGCTAACTCATCCTTTTTCTGATTCTAATTCTGCTTTTCTTATAATGTTTTCAGCATATAAGTTAAACAAGTGGGGTGGTAGGATGCAGCCTTTCCTGACCCCTTTGCCTATTGGGAACCACTCTGTTTCCCCGAATTCTGTTCTGACAGTGGTGTCTTGTCTTTGGTACTGATTCCTCATTAGGACTATCAGATGTAGTGGCACCCCCATGTCTTTGAGTGCATCCCATAGCTTTTTGTGATCTATACAATCAAATGCTTTGGTGTAGCCCATGAAACACATGCTGATTCTTTTTTGGAATTCTTTGGTGTGCTCCATTAGCCATTGTATGCTTGCAGTGTGGTCCCTAGTGCTCCTTCCTTTTCCGAATCCTGCTTGCACCTCTGGAATTTCTCTCTCCATATGTGGTTGGAGTCTATGCTGCAGAATTTTGAGCATTATTTTGCTTGAATGTGAGATTAGTGCTATTGTCCTATAGTTGCTGCATTCTTTTGTATCACCTTTCTTGTGAATTGGTATGTATATTGAGCAGTTCCAGTCTGTTGGCCACTGCTTTGTTTTCCATATTTGTTGGTATATTTAAGTTAGCACTGAAGTTGCATCTGTCTGTAGGCACTGTAGCAATTCAATTGGGCTATCATCTGTTCCAGGTGATTTATTTTTTTCCCATTTCTTTTATTACTGATTCCACTTCTTAGAATTTTGGGTTTGTCTTCATATGGCTCCTCATTCCAAATATAATTCCTTCCTTCATCTCTTTCGTATAACTCTTCTGTGTATTTCCTCCAGCATCTTTTTATTTCTTCTTGCTCTTGTATTATGTTCTTTTATTCTCTATAGAGCATCCCTGCCCTTGGTTTGAACTTGGCTTTAATTTCTCAGATTTTTTTTATAGAGGTCTCTTGTTCTTTCTTTTTTGTTGTTGTTTTCTATTTCTCTGCATTGGTCATTGTAGTATTTTTGCTTATCCCTACATGTCAGATGTTGGACAGTTGTGTTCATACTTCTGGCTTTGTTCCTATCTCCCTTTGTCTTTACTTTTCTTCTTTCTTTTATTGCATGAAATGTTTCATCTGTCTTCCGTTGTTTCTTATCTTTCTTTTTGGCCACTGTTAGTGTTTTCTTGCATTCGTTCTTAATTATGTCTTTGACTTCTGTCCACAGTTCTTCAGGTTCCTGGCCGATTATACTCAATAGTTCAGATCTGTTTCTTACATTCTGGTAAGACAGATAATTTACTAGTCTTCCTCCTGGGTTTTTTTTTTTTAAACCTTTGAAGGTGGTACTTATTAGTTGCCTTACAGTGTCTCTCTCACACACATTCCTAAGCATAGAAGAAATGAGTAGGGGTCTGGTTGTTTTGTTGCTGTGGTGCCCTGGGTACCTGGACTATAAAGTGATCAAACCAGCAACTGCCCTGCCAAGCTTTCCCATTGTAGAGACTAGCTAGACAGCATTGTCTGTGGCTAACAAGTTCTTGACAACTTTTTTATTTTGCTTTGACTAGCCAACTAGTCAGAAATTGTCAACTCCTATTCTTACATCAGGATAGATGCTTTCTTCATGACTGGTCAGCACTGACAGTAGTGCAAATGAGGTGTCAGGACTGTTACTACTGTATGATTTTTTTAAAAAGAAAATTGTGAACATTAGGGCATAGTTCAGTGACACATTGCATTTCTTTTGCTCTTATCTTTGTCAGTTTCATGTTTGATTTTAAATGATAGTTGGTGTTCATCAGCATATTATGTTGACAAAAAATGTGTTGTCATCTACACCCATCCTCAAAACATGTCTGAAAAAATATACAAAAGAATATTAATTAAAATGTGTTTAGCCATCAGGTACAATGTAAAGTGACTATGAGAATATTGACTCATTCTGTTGTTTATTCCCCCATTGTGCATAGGACAGTCTGATCTGTCAGGTAGTAATTCTTCATGAGCTCAGGCGAAAAGCCTATCTCATTAATTTTACTTTTATTTAATATACAGAGTATGGAAAGGGTAAGTTTTTTTCTCATTGCTTGTTACCTGATACATTTAATTAGGGACACAGGAATTTGAATTGGGATGTTTTAAATGTGAAACATCTACTATTTCACTAAGCTATGGTCCTTCCTAAAGAAGCAAGAAGTCTCAGTTCTCTGGCTTCTTAGAAATAAGATTCCTTATTTCCTGACATGCCATACAAGGTCTTAATGTACAAGATTAAACAAACAAACTGAACAAAACATTTCAGTGATTATAGGATTTGATAGCTGAAACAGCAGTGCGTTCTAACTTCAAGGTTTATCTGATATTTGCTCCATATGTATGGCATTAATGGCACAAACATGAGCTTTGGATAGTATTTTTATATGTTGTTCTGCTTTTCTTCTTATTTGTCTGTCATTGAAGTATAGTGTTCATAGATAGATTTTTAAAATAACAGAAAGGTCTTTCAGTGGTATTGAGCTTGTTTCTGGTACCAGTGTCAAAATCCATGTTGCCATAATGCTTGTACTAGATCTACCACAAGAACACAAAAATGTGCAACCTTTCAAGATCTGCAGTACTTGCATTATACAAGATGTTATAAAAAGCAGTTTGGAGAGTGGGGAAAATAAACTGACTGGATATCAAGGTCATTGTGGGATGGGCTGAGGGCATTGCGATTTGCAGAAATTCAAATTAGGTGCTAGCAAATGATTTTAGCCTTCACATGGAATGAATCCTAGGAAAGTTGGGAGCAAGAAAGGCATAAAAGTTGGATACTTCTTTTTTAAAAAACAAAAACCAAACAGTCCATTTATAGGCTTCAAATCATCTCCATCTTGTATATGTCAATAATCTAAGAAATAATTTTAGGTGCTAGATTAGGTAGTGGTCTTTTTTTTTAAACAAAAAAAGTTGAAGAAGCTCAGTTGGATTGTTTTATTTGGTAGCTGTAGGAACAAATAATCAGTGAATAAAGAAAATAAAAGTCCTAATTCAAGTGATATAAAATCTTCCTCTGGAGTAGAGTACTACTATCATGAAGCTAAATGTTATATTCTGCAAATACAGTTGGCTCTTTGTATCCATGTGGGTTCCATTCTAGATCCCCCCACCCCCCGAGGATAGCAAAATACCTCAAGTCCTGTTGTTTCCAATGGTGGTGCACACAACTATATTGGTGCAGCCACGTGCACTTAGTGCCATTGTTTAGATTCTGAGTTTGCTGCTGTTTGCCTTGATTATTGCAGGCAGGCAGGCAGGCGTAGCTGCTGTTGTGTGTCTTCAAGTCATTTTTGACATATGGCGACCCTAAGGTGATCCTATCACAGGGTTTTCTTGTCAGGTTTCTTCAGAGGGGGTTTGCCATTCCCATCCTCTGTGGCTGAGAGTGTGACTCGCCCAAGGTGGGCTTCATGGCTCAGCAGGGATTTGAACCCTGGTCTCCAGAGTCCTAGTCCAGTGCTCAAACCACTATACTACACTAGTTTAATTATGTTTTAACTTTTGTATTAAGAGTTTTTAAATTGTATTGTGATTTTAAAATGTTGTATGCCGCCTTGGATTCTATGCTGGGAGAAATATGGGAAAGAAATAAATAGACTTGCAACAAAACTACCTTGCGTGGAATTTGGCTGTGGTAAGCAGCCATGTTTAATCTTTGAATTTCTTTAAGAGATGCCCCAACATTCTAATGACATCACAGACTGTTCTTGTGCCCCCTTGGTAACCATATTAGAATGCCAAGCTTGTATATGGGTGGTGAATACATGTTTAATGAAGGTAGTTTTTGTCACACTGTCTAATAATCCTTTCAAAGGGTTCATAGAAAAAGGTTTGTAAAGAAATCACTTCAGAGGTAACAGCTTATTGCAGATCTTTGAGAAAGAAACCTGTAATCACTGTGTAGCATATAGTTTACAAAACTAAACTGAACTGTCAGAAGTCTCCCTGAAACATCAATTATGCATTACATCATTTGATGTGTGCTTACTGTATTGTTGTGCCTTGAGTTCCCTGTTGCTCACATCACTCCTTAAGCTTGCTAAGTTGGAAAGGTAGAATTTGTATTGACTGAGAGGCCTGTGGTGATGGTTTTTCACCAAGTCCCTTGCATCTTTTTTCCCCCACTGGTGGTAAGATGTTAAGTGTAGCTGAGGTTCTGAAGACAGTGCAAGGCTGTGTATTGAATTTTCACTTAAAGTGTGCCATATCTTGGAAGTCCTGCTATTTGGTTAGGCAGATGATTGATTTCTATGTATGTGGCTTACTCTAAGCAAAGTATACACTGCTTGGCATGTAATGTCTCAGCTAATACTAGCCATTTATAAGACTGTGCCTTAGGTTGTACTAACTTATTGGCTACAAGTGGGACTGATGGGAGTTGTAGGCTAAAACATCTGGAGAGCCAAAGGTTCCCCAACCTTGGATTATGTGTTATATGTGGAAATGTCAAATTCTGTAATCCAATATTTTATAAGATGTGTGGCAATATGGAATTGACTGGAAGTATCCTATAAACAGCAGTGACAGCAACTCATTATGGCTAGCGGTAGTTATGTTCATCAGTAACTTATCTAATACAAGTAGCATAGATGATGAAACTGTTACTTGGAGTAGTTGTAGATTGCTGATTTGGTACCAGTTTTTCATTGAGCAGATTATCTGTTGGGTCCTGATAGGTTTCTTTGTTTTTGTACGTTAATTTATATTCTGCTTCTCCTTCAACATTGGTTCTTGCATGAGTAAAGTTGATGGTAGTTTAAACTTGGAAAAGCTTTTATCATGCCTTCAGTGTAATCCAGACATTTCTATGGGCACAGATATATTCCAGTAAGTTAAAAACAAATGATTCACTCATGATTCATAGCAGTACCTCTTGTTAGATATACATTGGGCTTGGTATTGTAGGACTGCTGAGTAGTTGATTATACCATTCAGGCCTACATTGCTGCTGCTGTGTATGATAGTGTGTGGAGGGAAATTTGTAGTAGTACGTAAAATTTTCAGAGATTCCAGTTGTATATACTGAAAGTGAATCCTTTGCTTTTGCATTGCTCTGTGCTCGATAGCTCACATGTGGGAACTGGTTACATTGCAAACTATTTTGATTGAAGTAATATAAGAGTTCTGTCTCTGGGGTTACACCTGTGATGTCTCATTTACATACACAAGTCACCTCTTTGTCATTCAGTCATGAATTTGCACACATGAACTGTGCTACTTATTTTGAGGAAGAAATGGCTTACATCTTAAAACAGATGTCTTTGCAATTTAAAGATCTGTTCATATAAACTGCTTGAGAATTAGTATATCAGGCTTGCTTCACCTGCCAATCTAAAACAACTTCTGAAAATTAGGTAAACATGGATAATGAGTGATACAACAGTTTTGAAAGGGGCATCATTTTGGAAATTTGTAGCTCAAGTGATGTTTGAATTGTTTTTCTTTTCTTTTCTGTGCCTTTGCAGATGACCATGGATGAAAAATATGTGAACAGCATTTGGGATCTTCTAAAAAATGCAATCCAAGAGATTCAGCGTAAGAACAACAGTGGTCTCAGTTTTGAGGAACTGTATAGGAATGCGTATACTATGGTATTACATAAACACGGAGAGAAACTGTACACTGGACTACGAGAAGTTGTTACGGAACATCTCATAAACAAGGTATTGGAGCACAATCAGAATCATAAAAGCTGAAAGATATAGAAAAAATGATACATCACTGCCTTTAGAGAATCATATACAAATTTCTACTTAATACAAATTACAATGGCTTTCTAGCATGTTTATAAACAGTGGGAGGAGGGAGTGCTAAATTTAGCGCTGTGCTTTCTCTTCACACTTGCTTAAGCTGTTACTCATACAAACTATCAAATACTTTTGATCTGTACTGTTTTACAGTCTTGTCAGTGTATGTACTTGCAAGTACATAATTATCTATTTAAGTCAGGAGTAGGCAACCTTTCCCCTTTAAGGGCCGAGGGACTTCAGCTCCCAGAAGCCTCAGCCATGTTGGCCAATAGTCCCATGTTGGCCAATAGCTCCTGGGATTCTGGGAGCTGAAGTCCCTCGGCCCTTAAAGGGGAAAGGTTGCCTACACCTGATTTAAGTGTTCCAATTTTGTAGGTGAATCTAAGGCTGAAATACCTGTATTCAGGTGAAACACTGGACCATGGTTTGATAGTACAGATAGGAGCAGTTTCTAGCTTCAGGCTAGAAGAATGCTTCTTCTTTCACAAGAAAGATTAGAGACTCTTGTTTCTGGTTTGAAGGAACCAGTTGTTTGTCACTTTATCCAAATCCAGAAAACTCTGGTGTGCCCACAAACCAGTTTCTTAAACTGCCTTGAATCCTGCTTAAGGAGAAAGGTGGGATATAAATCGAATAAATACAATCTTGGTTTGTAAACAATCCTTGTGGAATCCAATTCCTTGATTCTCTAGGTGTATATGAAATGGCACTTGATGGTTTGCTTCAACCAAAATTGAATCCTGTAATTTTGCTTCATGCATGCTGGAAAGGGGGAAAAGAAGGTACAGGATGCATGAGCTTGAACTTTTGTACTTGTAAAATTAAGCCCTAGTCTTGTGTAATGGCTGAATATAGTCATTGGCCTGACTCAGATATCACAACTAACAATAATTTGTTGTCATCTGCTAGCGTATTCTGTCCCTTCTCCCCTTCTCATTTGTATGAGAAAATGGGATGTTGAACACTTCTGATCATAGTTCTGAACAATTTCAAGCTAGTATCCCATCACCTTCAAACATGAGAAACAGTTAGCATTTTGGACAAATTACCATTTTCTGTTAAGCTTAAATACGATAAACTGACTTCTCACAGTTGCTTTAGGCAAACCAGGGCTGAAAACTGGTTTACCATAATGTAACAGGAGCTATGTTGGCCTGTCTTGTCCAACATTCTGTTCACACTTAATCTGAGTTACCCTTTCCTGCATCTTTTCCAATTTTGGAATATGTGTTTTCAAGTGCAATGACTAGAACTATACATAGTATTCCAGATGTAGTTATACCATGGTTTTATATAACAGCAGTATGGTTTTGGACGTTTGTTTTCATTTCTATTACTAATTATGTCCAACGTGGCATTAGTCTTTTTTACTGCAGCTGGCCAGTGGGTGGACATTTCCATGGAGCTGTTCACCAGAACACCCAAGAACCCCCCTCTTTTTTTTAAAAAAAAAAATCAGTCATTGGTCTTCCAGATCCCATCTGTGTATATGCCAAGATGGGAGAGGGGGTTGCCCCAATATGTAACATTTTACACCTAGTTATACTGCATCTCATTTGCTGTTCTATCACCCATTCTCCCAGTTTGGAGAGATATTTTTAGAGCAGAAGGGCAGGAGGAAACTATGGGGTGCATTAATCTTGGAGGGCTATCCCCTCAAAAAAAAGAAAAGAAAAGAAATTCAGCCGCAGAGTGCCCCCAAATACCCTCTAGGGTTGGGGGGAGAAATTTTACCATGTTTTAATGTTCTCCTAGACCATTTTTGTCCCAATAGAGGCCTTTTTTTTTTTTTTTTTTTTTTTTTTTTTTT